CCCTCCGGGGCGGTACTGCGGGCTGCCGCGCCCACCTCCTCCGCAGCGGTGGGCAGACGCAGGTGTGGTCGCTGGACCGCCTCACATCCGCACGAGGCGGGGTCGTCCCTGGGCACCTGCGGAAGGCTGGAAGCACCTGCTGGTCTGGCTAAGCCAGGGCAGGGGCCCTCCACCCGGCCGGGTCAGATCTGAAGATGTGCTCGCTCTGCCCCGCAGGTCTGCGATTATTTGAAGAAAAATTAAGGAGGAGTCTGGTTCTGGCTTGAGAACCACTGCTGAGCTAGGATCAACTTTGACTCCTAGAAGAGAGGAATGGATGGGTGGGAGGGCTTTTGGAATGAGTGAAGAACATTCCAGTGCAGTGGAATTAAGAGAACTGGGATGCTAAGGAACATAATTTTATATGGATAGATTTGTTTTATTTGTAAAATAAACCATATTGAGGGACTCCTCAAAAACTAGCAAATAGAAACGCAGGGTATGAATACTTAACAATATGCAACCTTAAATGGACAAACTAAAAGGTAGTCAAAGAATTCAAATCAAGAGCCGTCCAAACCTAACACTTGGAAGATGGGGAGAGAGGAAAAACCCCAGTTGGACACCAGCTGGGTTGCATATAGGGGGTGTCATACGGAAGCACGCATACATCCGCCTTCTGCCCCAAGTCCGGAAGTGAATATTCCAAGAGAACAAACTGTCCCATCAATGGACGAGGAATATTAAAGAATCTCTTAAAAACAAACTAGAAAATATGTATATGTTCAGTTTACAGTAGAGGAGGAGTGGCTGATTAGTAAGTTAACAGAGAAGAAAATTCTAAGACAAAAAAATGGAACCCAAATGTTGCAACATTTTAGTGAAGAGTCTTAGAAGGAACACACCTTCATATTTTAAGGGTCTGCTGAGTCATCAGAATAACAAAACAAAAATCCCTTCTTAGACAACGCCTAGGAGAAAAGGAATCAAGATTTTAGGCTGAAACATATCGGTCAATGGAAATTAGACTGCCACTCAAGCAAAATCTACCCAGCTGAAACATCCTTTTCCTTTGGCAAATCAACGTTAAGAGTGTAGTTAAGCTGGGCGGTGATGGCGCACACCTTTAATCCCAGCACTCAGGAGGCTCTCTGTGAGTTCAAGACCAGCCTGGTTCAAAGCCACAGAGAAACCCTGTCTCGAAACTTCCCCCCCCCAAAAAAAGAGTGTAGTTAAAATATTTTCATAAAAGATTCAGAAAACATCTCACTGAATGACTCCCACAAAAAATGATCAATGATTAAAAAGGATATTATCCCATAGTCTCATACCAAATAACCTGAGCTAACAAATGGTAACATATTAAGTGGCAGGTATTCTGTACAGATAACTAGAAAGCTAACCTTTTTTTGATAAAGGAACTTACTGGCCTCAAACTTGAGATTCTCTTGCTTCTACCTAGTACTAAGATTACAGGTGTGGACTACCATGTCTGGCTTTGATGCAGAATGTAAAAAAGAGAAAGTGGTTGATGGATAATGTTCTAGTTTCATTTCTGTTGCTATGTTAAAAACACCCCGACAAGCAACCCAGGTAGAAGAGGTTTCATTTAGCTCACAATTCCAAGTTACAAGCCATCACTGGGGAAGTCAAGGAGGAACCTTATACAATTGTAACATCTGCAGTCAAGATAGCAGAGAATAAATGCATGCATACATATTTATCAACTAGTTTATATATATATATATATATATATATATATATATATATATATGGTCCAGGTCTCCAGCCAGGGGATGGTTGGCATTCACATTCAGGATGGGTCGTTCCAGCTCAGTTAATCAAATTGAGAAAGTTTCCCACAAGCCAATCTAATGTAGTCACTCATCTCCCTATATGATTCTAGGTTGTGTCGAGTTGACAAACTATAACAGGTAGTCAAACAAAATGTGACTGGATTTTAAAAGGTTTTTGGAAAGGGGAGAGGGGAGAGGGAGACAAGCATGCCCAGTATTAAGGAGTAGCATCCCCTATTTGCAAAGAGCTACAACTGGGACAGCATGGGGACCATCTCACTGGAGTCTTCCCTTTATGGTGATACCTATGCAATTCTCCAGGAATACTGCTTCCAGTGTACTTTTTTTCCATTACCACTTTGTTTCCTACCACAAATACCATGAAGCCAATGTAGGAATTCCACCCACTGCTAAAATTGCTTATTCCAACAATTCACTTGGCAGCTCAGACTCATAACTAGATAAATTCAGTCCCACTATCCCTATGCAAAGGCGAACCTGGACCAAAATGTCATTTATCTCCTAGGCCATATAATTTAAAAGTGATAGCATACAATGAATGCAATTATCAATTTTGGAATTGGCAAATGGTGGCCACACAAAGTTTGAGTATTTTCTTTTCTCCAGAATAGCTATCCATAAGAGCTCTCAATACCTTTGAGGAAAGCCTGAATGTTTGTCATTGCTGTGTAGCAAAACTTCCTGGGAGATGCAACACACATCTACTCACTCCAGACAGAAAACCCACAACATACCAAAGTACAAACCCCATCAAAGTCCAGCTTGGTGAACCAATGGGTTTTTATTGGGGTTTCTTACAAGAATATGGGTGAGGGGTCATATTTCATATTCAGAAATTACTGAAAAGACAGTTGTATCACCAAATCCCACTCCATGAGTGACAGCTCACAAAAGCTGGGAACCTGGAACACACCACATAGGCAGCTCAATGTGGTCCTCTCAAGACCTTTCCAAGTGTCTCATCTGGTCTAAATGTCTTGCAGTCAGCTCTGCTCATTTCTGTTTCTTCCAGGCTGCTGGACTTAGTAAGATCAGGGAGGGACTTTAGCAGAGCGGGTGGGGGTGTGGGGGCAGTGAATCTAGTCAGTTTCAGGGACTTCCTTGAAACTGTATTCCTTGTTTACCTTCCTGTTTAAAGAGCTTTCCTGCAGGCTGCAATGTTTCAATCTTGGAGGAATTCATTGTAAAGGCTATTGATTTGGAATCTGGAGCTAGTACTCACAATAGGGTAATCTTGTTTTTTGTAGGACATAAGAAGTCTCTATTCTCAAAACGTAAAGCCTGTGTTTTGCCAGTTTTTGTTGCTACACACACACAGTATAAATGAGTTGTTTGTGAGTTAATTCCTCAGGCCCCACATATAACTAGCACCAGAGAACTATGTAGGTCAGCCCACCACTTGCTTTCCCTCTCTGCCCGTTAATAGACCAATAACCTATTTGCTGTCTGGTAATTAACTGCCTCCACCTGGTCTCCTCCCAGCACTGCTTCCAATCTGGGAGTGAATTTCAATTGCAGCTGCTCCTACAAGCAGAAAAAGATAGGGAGCTTTTTGACAGTGTTGGCAATCATACTCTGTGCCTTTGTGCATGCTAGGCAAACATGACACTGTGAGCTACAATCTCAGCCTTCGAGAAACTTCTTAAGAGCACAATGAAGGAATGGTGAGTTAGAAGATCAATCAGTATTCCCACCTCCCAAGATTTTGAACATTAAAGCCCAGTTTGGGCCATTTGATACCAAGTTCAAGTCTGTTACCATAGAAATTACTCCAAGCTTTTGACACCCATCTTAAGACATCTTAATTCACTATTACCCCACCACTGGAAGACATCAGTGCTCTAGTCCCATTTAAAATGTAAGTCTTCGTATATAAACCACCTCAGCTCCAGCGCAGGCCTCTGCATTAGCCTTCCCACATCTTTAGGGGTGTGTGTGTGTGTGTGTGTGTGTGTGTGTGTGTGTGTGTGTGTGTGAGAGAGAGAGAGAGAGAGAGAGAGAGAGAGAGAGAGAGAGTAGTCCCTTCCCCTTCATTCTCTTCCCATAGCGCATGCTGGACCACAACAATTCTGTTTCCATCTCTTTATAGACTCCTATAACATAAAAGTATGTTCTGATTCTTTTTATCTTACATAGAGAGGGAGAGCAAGCCAAAGGAGAGGGAGGGGGGAATTCCCTTGACCTACATCCCTTTCTTGCTTCTCCTTCACAGCCAAACCCTTGAAGGAACAATCCACATGTAGATTTTTTTCTACCTTTTCTTTCAGCATTCACCACTTATTACAAAGCATTCTGCCTTTGCTCACTAAGGAACATGTTAAAAATGCAGAGCCCCAGGCTCTAACCCACCTGCACTGAATCAAAGAGGACGGTGGCTTCAGTAGTGATTTAGCACACCCTGTTCTAGGAGGTGGGTCTGCCAGAAAAACTGTATTCGTGACCAACTGTGCGGAGCAGTGGTGGTGCACACCTTTAAATCTCAGCACTCGGGAGGCAGAGGCAGAAGTGTCAGCATTCAGGCACCTGCACTGGCCTGCCCTTGGGGACCGGGCAGA